CGATGCTAAAGGGATAGAGGTACGGCGCCATGCTGTTGATCATGCTGGAGAGGTACGTGTCCTTCTCGCATCCGTACTTGATCTCCCAGGTCGAGGCGGCCGCGTAGTGTTGAGTGCCGTTGGGAGGGTCTTCGTATTCCTCTTTGGCAAAGATCGCCTGTAAGGTTTCTTGTAAGATGGTGTAGACCCAGTAACAGAGGGACGTACCGATGGAATGCATGATGCCGAACCTTGCCCAGATGTGCCTATGGTTGATGATCAGCTGTGGAGGAATAATCATGAAATCATTAGTTGTGTTTACTTTTTTAGCCATAAAAGTAGAAGTACACATATTCAGAATTACAGATGTCTAAAGTCTTTGCACTTACATTGGCGTACTTAAATATAAAGAAGAGCTGGTAAAAGGCACATATCGGCTGCAGTGAAGATATGATGATGCTGACAATGCTGGAGCACGAAGCCAGTTCGGGGTCGTCCTCGGTGAAGTATAGCACTTGCTGCCCGAAAGTCAGGCCCGTGTGGATCATGTGACCGAAGCAAAACACTGGAGAAAAATTTATGTAGCATGTTTAGTTACGACAGAATTCTGAATTCGGGCGGTTACTCGAATTCTGATAACTACTTACTGATTTCGTCTTTTATCGGTTATGGGATAAAGTAATACAAAGTCTCTGCACGTGAACATCAAACAGCATCAACCTCTCATTACCTGTGGCTCCAATCTTGATGTAAATTGATCCTTCGCTGGTAAACCCGTACATGAGAGGAATCGGTTCCTCGTCCTCTTTGCCGAACTTCAGCTGAAACTGTCCATCATCAACCGATTCCATGTACACTGTATCTTCCCTGCCTTCGCGTCGGGCTGTCGCTTCTCGAACTCTCCGAAAGATTTTGTGGATGAAAATTCTCGTGTCGATGTGGATAGTGAGGAGCCAGAACATTTGTGTCACCGTGAGGAACAAGTTATAGCTTTCTGCGGCCACGGAGTTCGGGCCCCAGAAGATGTCGGCCATGTATATCACGATGCCAAGAGACACCAAGAAGATGGCGTACGCGACACTGGCGTTCTCACTCAAGGCCAGCCAGAACCAAGCGATTTTTTCTTCCCTCGTCGTGGATGGCGGATCGTCCTCCTCGACAGACAGCGACGCGACGGAGGTCTCCCTGGCCAACCGGTCCTCCTGCGCCATTGTGGGAGCGTACGGGGGAATGGCAATAAAGGCAGGAGGCTTAACTGGCTGGCTGTCGACTGAGGCATGGATCGAGCCGTTCACGATCCCGCTGCAGATGGAGAAATTATCCATTTGCTGAAACGCCGATGGACTGATGGTACGAGGGTCGACCCCAAGGCGCTGCATAGATCGCTGGCGCTGGAGTTTGAGCAGAGCGTTGTTCTTGCGGTTCAGGAACGGCGTCAGGTTCGCCCTGTTGGGGTCTGTGGGCGAGGTGGGCGTCTGGGGCAGCGACAGGCCGCTGTTCGTGATTCCTGAATCGTCGCTGCTCGGAGGATCGCTTGGGAGTTTGAGATTTCAAATCTGTTCGTGTGAAAACTGTCGGAGGAGTGGCGCGGCGCCGTGCCCTTGCCTCTTATTAGTGATGAGAGTGAAACAAGGACGGTGACGGTATCGATACTTTTTATATATATATATATATATATATATATATATATATATATATATATATATATATATATGTGTGTGTGTGTGTGTGTGTGTGTGTGTGTGTGTGTGTGTGTACATATGTATGTATATATATGCACACACACACACACACACACACACACACACACACACACACACACACATATATATATATATATATATATATATATATATATATATATATATATGCATACATATACACATACCTATATGCACACACACGTACACACACATATATATATAGGTATATATGTATATATATAATATATATGTGTGTGTGTGTGTGTGTATGTGTTTGTGTGTGTGTGCGTATGTATGTATGTATGTATGTATGTGTGTGCGTGTGTGTGCATATGTATATGTATATATCGTCCAAAAATCAATATTCAGGCAAAGTTTTTGGTTTGTTTTTTATACCTGATATAATCAGTATGATGGCAAACATATATCACACTTTGGACATGGCAAATAAATATAGATTTCACATGAAACTAGCAAGAATAAAATTCACTCATATTCTCGTCAAATTATAGGTAGACATAGGCTTACCTACCTGTAGATTGCATGGAAAGAGTATTTAGGTGAACTCTTTAAGAATTATTCTTCTCTGACATAATTATTACAAATTCTATAAGTAAAACTACATTGCTGATACATAAACAAGCAGTACCAACGTTAAACGAGTTAGCAACTGTGCATGTCGGCTTTTTGGCAAAGGACAACAAACTCCATAGCGCATGGGCGAGAATGAGCTTGAAATATTTCCTTGATTCGACGATAGATGGCGATGAATAAAAATTATGTTTGGATCTGTTCTTTGTTTCACAATGATGAGAAAT